GGGAGGAAGGAAGGAAGGAAGGGAGGGAGGAAAGAAGGAAGGAAGGAAGGAAGGGAGGGAGGGAGAGAGGAAAGAAGGAAAGAAGGAAGGATGAGTGCATAGACAGATGGATGGAAAATGAACGTACAATGAATGAATGGATGGATGGGTGGCTTGGTTGACAAATAGATGGGTGAATGGATAGCAACCTTGTTCCCAGGCTCTCCGATGGCTCTCCCATGGCTGGACTGATGGATGGATTGATAGCTGGATGGGTGGGTGGTTTGACTAATTTGACTGACTGCACTATACTTCTGTGGGAGGCGCAGTGGCCTCATGGTTAGTGTGCTTGACTCCACAGCGAGCGGTCCGGGTTCGAGCCCTGGCCAGGGAAATTGTGTTGTGTTCTTGGGCAAGACATTTTACTCTCACAGTGCACGTGTCTCTCTCCACCCAGGTGTATAAGTGGGTGCTGTCGAATTTAATGCTGGGGGGGTAACCCTGCAATGGACTAGCATCCCATCCAGGCCGGACTAGAAATACTCCGTGTCGCTTCATGCCACTGAAACTGGGATAAGCTCTGGCCTGATGATACACTTGGCTTGTATGCAGACTTTATCTTACCCTGTACTTCTACCCATATTATGTTGCTAGATAACCCTTCATACAGACGATACACGTATAATCATGCACTTATAATGTTGGATAGTATCAAAAAATTGACAAGGGACTTGTAAAAAGTGGACTCAGATTCAGAGTAACATTACATTAAAAAGACCTTCCTTTACATCAAAGTAACAGCATTCAATGGTATACAGCACCTAGTTTACAGTAACTCAAACATTGGAAGTGCTCAACACAACCTCTTTGCCTAATTCTCTGATAGTCAAGGACTTCACTTTCTTACCACAAGAGTATCTCCACATTGAAAATCAATGACAAGTTTAAAACAGAATCTACAAAGCAAACAAAATAATTTATTCACATGAGAGCTGCATTTGTTAAGTACATTTAATAAATAAGTAAAGGCAAATGCGTTAATTTGAATGTCGGGCAAAATTAATCCAATTTTTTTTGTAGCATATCGGGGGTGGCATGGTACAGTCAGCAGGCAGATGAGGAAGTGGGAGCTGAAATAGGAATCTTCTTTGTGATTAATCAAGCCCATGCACACTGGTATCTGGATTAATTCACAGTTGGCCTACTAAGAAAAAGGTTACAGGACCATTCTTGTAATAATTTACATGACTAATAAAAATCCAATCTCCAGATTCAATACTGTGCCAACCTTATTGTTACATAGACAAAGCCAAGAAGTGATCCCAACAGCTTGTATTCAGTTGTCAGGCAGGCAAAAAATGGGTAGAACAGTATTCCGTATACAAGGACAGCTACGATACCCTGAAAAACTAAAATGATACATTAAACTTTTAAATTAGCTGTTAAAATAATTTTGTTTATCCTCCAATATAGCGTGTAAGTAATTTAAATGCATGTATTTAGTTAAAAAACAACAACAACAACAAAAAACATTTTTACTCCTTTTTTAGGAATTGTGTGGTTCCAGAAAATAACCATATCCCCACCATGGAGAGAATTGGAAATTCCAGAGGGGTGGGGGGTCAGAGACCCAGCAAATTCTGGATGGGAGGGGGCTGGTCGGTTAATTTAGTTTCCATATGTCCTTTGATTCAATACAGATTCAAGTATCGATCTAGCTGTTCGACAATCCTTTCTTACCTACTAAGTAGATCTTTCATATGAAAAAATAGCAGCTTGAATACTTGTAGTTGAATCGCATTATATATGAAATGAATTTTCTTTTTTCAAAAAGCATTTTGGAAGCTAACAAGTGCAAAGAACGTGCTGTTGTGTGGAAATGGCCACCATTACTTGTTACCAGTCTACATGGAGTCACTTTGTGCACCGAAAAGCACTGGTGACTAGCCTAGTTTGTTTTCACATCAGTCTTGAAAGCTGTCTGGTGGCACATACATACATACATACATAGACTTTATTAACATGTTGGAGATATTTAGCTAAAAATACCTAATTGGGGACACTAATGCATAAATTATAAAATATAAAATACCGGTACTAACATATACATGTAAAAATAGACACATAGATAGTTGTTAAAACTCCCCCCCCCCCCAAAAAAAAAAACCCGCATGTTTCACAGTTCTAATTAGTTAATGAAGATAATAGTAGTAATAATGATAATAACAATAACAACACTAATAATAATAATGCTAATAATAATAAGTTCAGCATCGGCAGTCGCTTTCTTTTGTGAAAATTAGTTTCCTTTTAAAGATAGAAATGATGTTACAATTTCACTAACTTGAGAATTTCTTATTCATGTCTATCTCTGTTCATTTATGTGTAATTTTGATGTAAAATTGGCTTTTGTCACACGTGTATTAGCCATTAGCTGGTATTAGCCAGTGCCAAGCTTCAAAAATTTAATGATAAAAAAATATCTGATGAACACTGGGCTTATATACTGATAGTTTTCTATAATTCACTGTAAAATATATAGATATATCATATACTGCATCACTCACCCTTCACCCAAGCAGGACCAGGTAAGGAAAAGAAACCATTCCCTGATAGAAACAGTGTAAGGCATGTACTGGCTGTGGCACCGAATGTAGCGGCAATGGTATATCTGTTACTAAAACCACCTAAGAAGTTGATTGGTCTGAAAAGAAGAAGCTACAAACACTCAACACAGAATATTACTAATTAAAATAAATAGAAAAAACATCACTATAACTGTCAGTCATTTTGTTTATATATATATGAATACACTTTGACATTTTCAGATGTGGTCCAATGTTTAATTAAGTCTGTATTATCAACCTATGAATTAGCTGGGTTAAGTTTACTCACTCAGTGTGTGTACATGAATGTTCTAAATAACATAAGGGCTCTTGCAAAATATATTAACTTTCATCGTTGATTTTTGGCTTAAATTTAAAACATGAAGGTGTCAAGGCTGTAGGTAGAAATAGGTGAACTAAATAACAATAAAAACTCAACAAAAAGTTTGGAATTTATTTATTTACTTCAAGTTCCAGTAAGACGAGGCTACATGCATAACAACAATTACTCAATATAAAAGAAGCATTTCTTCTGGCTGTGGCCATGTGTGTGCCAGAGCACATACATTTGGGAAGCATATCAATTACCAGATTAATGCATAAAAATAGGAGAAGAAACTGTGGTGGATTTATAACATTAATTACTGTGTAACACCCAGATCTAACTTTGATCAACTTCTCAATCCTTTTTTTCAAGAAAGAAATGGCTGATCATTCACCAACATGCCCCTGTAACCCGTAGAGTTCTCAGAAGAAGTTGGCAACAGGCAGATTCCCATCTGGGGGGAGGGGACCATTAAAAAAAAAAAGAAAAAATTATAAACAGGACGAGGGTGCTCGTCAGAAATTTTGAAAAGAACCCCTAAGAGGTACCAAGATCCTGTTTTGTGGGCGTGGATTGAAATTTTTTTCTCCCCTATGTCCTAATTCTTACATACAGTAAAACCTCCATTAAATGGACCCCAATTAAGCGGACACCCTCTATTATGGACACTTAGCCTGGTCCCAAAATTAATGTGTTATATTTCCCTTATAACGAATCCCTATTCGGCGGACACCTCTGTTAAACGGACGGGGACACTAAAACATAAATTGTATTTGGTTAATTTCTATTGTTAAAAACCTCTATTAAGCGGACACCAGACTGAATTAACAATGAGGCATTGGATTACATCCATGAAATAGTTGATTAAATGTACAGGCCTGTGTCATCATTGCTGTATGGAAAGGGCATTACTACAAACAAATTAAAGTTGGTAATGAAAGCTGATGAACTTGAACTCTGGATAGCTTCGTTAACAACATGGATTTTTATTACTGTACAGAGGAACCGTTGAATGTTAATTGTTAACAAACATTGCGCAATTGTTATAAACCTTTATTAAGGAGACACCCTCTATTAAGCGGACGCTTGGGAAGGTCCTGAGGGTGTCCACGTAACAGAGGTTTCACTGTATTCCTGTCCCACTGTGGAACTTTTGAGGCTAAACACTCTAAAAGGTACCAAACCTGCTTTTTAAACCCCTAAAAGGTACGTCCGAGCACCCCTGTCATATTTTAAATACAGGAGTTCCTCTAAGGATTCCCATTCCTTTCTGTGATGCCATAAAATTACCCTGCACCTGATCGTGGCTTGAAAAACAAAAGGATTTCTAAGAGCCCTCAACCTGCAAACAACCACCAACCACCACCATCTCTACCCTAAGAAAAACTGCCCATGATCAATCGGGCTATCAATTATTTTATCATTGCATGATTATGATGAAGTTGTTAGCTAATATGTAACAGTCCTACAAACACCTACATTAATAAACCAGGGTATCCATTGCAGTGTTCATGTTTGAAATTCACTTGGCGCCTTAGAGATGCCAGTATCAAAATGATGAGAAGCTACAAACCAAAATAAAAGTAAACTTAACTATAAACATCACATTCATATTATTGCTTCAGTTATTTGGATGTTACTCAGTGCAACATAGCATTTAACATGTACTTAGAATATTCCACACGTAAAAAGCAATAATTTTTAAATATTCCAACCACTGAGTCGCAAAATTTCTTTGGATAGGACAACTATGAGACTTAAAGCTCAGAAAAAATAACAATAAAAAATAGAAAATGAAAACAACTGGAAGCAGTGCCTCCTTTTTCTTGCAGCCATTTTAAGCACTAACTTGTGCTTTCGAACATGATGTACAGCATTAGGATGCCTTGTATTATATTATCCAATTTATACTACAAGAAAAGACCTGATTGACAGATTGACAGCCAGGATTTAAATATAATTTCTCTTTTTGTTGGAGGGGTAGGGGGGGGGGAGTGAATGCCATTTAAAGATAGATCAAATTTATTATTTAAATGATGTTTATTTGAGAGACTGGTTCATTTATCATGTCCATTTACCATATTGAGGTAATAAATTGCAACAGCGGTTATTTCATATTAATGACATTCATGTATGAAAAATCAAATGACGAAAAACAGGTGTTACTCCATATTAGTTCTCATGTCAATGTTTAAATAGGTGTCAATCAGAGATACGACTGGCCTTCATTTGCTTCATCAATATCTGAACCAATGATATTCAAAAGTGAGATTAGACTGACTGGTTCACTTGTAATTGTGCAGTCGTTCATGCCTTTCCTGGAACACATTTCAGGGGGCTGGAGGGATGAGGCATTAGAGGAAAGGATGGGATAGTAGAGAGAGGGAATTAATGAAAAGAAAGAAAAATTCAACAGACACCTTAATTACTGATAGTAATATTTTTTGGAACTTTCAGTACTCTAAGTTTTTCTTTGTTCTTTTAAACTTACAGCGGGAGCAAGGCATCCTAGATCAAACAACTGGTCATTTATTCCACGGCACCTTTAGATGATATAATGAATAAAAAATATCAATTGCATAGATAGAAAATTAAAATAATATCAATTTAATTATTGACTCATTCCAAAACAAAGGAGAAGACAAAAACGTTTGTCACACTGGAGGCTAAAAAAAAGGAAAGAAAAAAAAATATTATTAACCATGAGCAGTTAAGATGAATCAAATACTACACTGTGATTGGCTACCCAAGCAGGCAAGATGGTGCTATCTTGTCGGCTAGGGATTGCGCTATGTGTCCCACAAGGAAAATTTTCGTGAAGCTAGTTCAAGCAGGTTCACTAAAGTTTTCTCTCATAATTTTAATACATTGCAAAAATATTTTTGTGACAGCTTAAAGATTCCCTATCGTCTTTGTATATTAAATGATTGAGTTGGAAAATGAGAAAAGTGGAAGTGTTAACAAAATTAAACAAAGAAAACAAAATGTTGACGAGTTTCATGAATTTATTTTGCAACCGAAACCACAAAATAAATCCTTTATTGACCTGCAAGCTTGTTCCATCATGATCACTAGATATATGGCTTTGTTATTTTTTATTATTATTTACTCATTTATTTATTTTTGCTTGTTTATGGTCCTTGACTATCTTGGTCCTTAAACAGGCAAAAAAAAATTAGAACTTGTCCAATATCGAACCATACTGACCTCATGCTTGGTCAATAACCCATATATACTAACTCTCAGACTGGTCACGCACATTTCGCGTGAATAATCACATTACATTACACCAACAGGTCTACATTGTACATCCTTACGTCGCAGACAAAGAAGCCAAATTCGAATCTGTTATGCACCAAATACAAGTATTCAGAACGGCTAGTCAGGCATATGGAAAGGTGATATTTCCCCCCCGACAACATGAAATTTTGAAATTAACAACCACAATATTTTGACCCAACAAATAGTCAGCTAAATTAAATATTCAAGACAATTATACATGTATTTCTTCGCGCTTCGCGATGTGCTCACAATTTTCAGCTCTACAAATTGCACAGATGGTCGATAGTTTTGCGCCAAAGCGTTCCTCGATCAAGGTTTAAGCTTGTTTGGTAGTTTTAAGGATGGAATCAATTGACTAGAGATGACAGGAAATTTGATTTTACAAACGAAAGGCAATATAATGGATGACTTATTTTCTATTATTCACTCGCAGCGGGACCCGTTTCTCGAAGGTCCCGAAAAGGTTTCGCACCCGGAGAGCCGGAGCAAAATCTCAAACCTTAACTTATGATTACAGAGCTGTTCTTTTCACACATTTTGAGTATAAACAGAGGTTCCATTCCGTACAAGAACTCTCTTTAAATACCGTACCGATCAACTAAAAATGGCTTTTCGGAGCCGAAAACTTTCCGGGGCTTTCGAGAAACAGGCCCCTGAATTCAACAACACAAACTACATTGAGACAAAAATTAAACCTACTTACTGGGTTGCAGTGTTCGCTGAATTGTCAGCCATTTCAAAATTTACTGCGCTGTCGAGAGCTGTCTTTTCTTCAGTTCCTCGTTCGCATAGTTTCTTGGAAATTTAGGCCCGAGCGCAGTGGCTTAATTTCTCGGAAACCGGAAGTTGAATGAAAGACGATTGCTGGTGTGATGAAATATCTCGCGTGGCCGCGGGCGACTTGGACCGTCTGAGGCACGAAATGAGAAACTGCATTAAGGCTTCATGGGAAAGGCAATCAGTTCAATATTTTAGGAGTTTTGGGATATCGAAACGATATCCAAAAGTACACACGTCACATATTGAAGAGAGAAGTAATAACACACCAGACATACACCACAAAGAACAGAGNTTGAAATTGGAAAGCTGGCAGTTAAATACGAAAATTTGAATGGTTGCTATAGTAGATGCGTTACATTCAGGCTATTTGAAACTATTCGAAGAGTTTCTAGGTAACAAAAACATATAACGTTGTAAGCAACGTGTCTTCCATCTGGTACGGTACGCATTAGAGTACCCTTAATGGAACTTTGCGCATGCGCATATGCTAAAAAGGATAAAGGAACAATTAAAATAAAAGGAGAAACTCAATCTCTCGTCAAACTTTTAAAGTTGTCTCAAAAATTTATAACTATCTTATAATTGGAAAGAATGATTCGTCAAAAAGTAATACGAAGGCAGACCTGCATCGATTATACTATCAGGAGGCAGGCCCACTGCAGAATCATTCATAAGGTTGAATCGGCGGAAGAAAAGCAACAGAATACTAAACGAATATCTGTTGTAGGTCAAATCTTTACCGAAATTTAAACGGTTTAAGGTAGCATCTCACCCCAGATGACCGCTTTGCCTTCGCACCGTTTTAAGACGAGACGTTAAATAAAAACCCTGACAAACTATATATTTCTGAAAGCTTAATAAATGAAGATTACCATACCATATTTATTGAAAGAAAAAAAAATAAATGCCTTGAAAATATAGCGGTCGTTTTGCAAAAGAACATGGCCTGCAGTATTTAGTTCCTGTGCAGTCGGAAGTGATCTAGACGAAGAGACAAACATTGCGCCGAGTTCTTAACACCTTTGTCTCAAAAACAGTGTCGGCGAATTTCGATTGCTTGCCTGGTTTGTTTTCTACGCCCGGTTAAACTTAATTCGAGATTCGAAGAAATATCTCTCCTCTTCCTTCATTTGTTTATAACTCTAGAAAGAATCAGAAAAACCAAAAACGCCAACACTGTTTTTGAGCCACATTATATGGGAAAATTCTCGCCAAATTTGAGCTAAAACGGTTGAAAACTCGATGCACACGAACTTAAAACGTACGCCCCATTTCTTTAAAATATAGTTTCGAGAAATAGAGCAAGACAGGTTGCGGAAGTAATTACCTGCCGTTTATAAGCAAACGGCACAACTTACTTTATAACAATAGCGCTCAAATGCTGACCAGACAAGATGTCAAATACTGTTCTGCGCGGGAATTTAACGCTACGTTTCAGTTCTACCAGGTATCGCTGTTTGGTCGCTCGCTCCGAAGGTAAGTTGTTACTGTAGAATTGAAAGTGTTTCATCCCAGTTTCGGGAGTTTTCATTCCTCTGACTGGTAAATTGTATTATGAATAGGCCAAAAAAACGTTAGCAATGCCTAAACAAACGAAAAAAGGGACAAAGGTAAACGTGACAAATACGACGCGCGAAGAATAAGACGCGACGCTGAACGCGCAAGGCGCGCGGGGAAGGAAGTAAGTACCAATGACTCCAGTGAAAATCCTAAGGGAGTCATGCTTTCTGAGATGCGAGCAGCTGGGTAAGAATGGTAATAAACTGGATAGGAAACAATACAAATTGCTCTCTGGTCCATAAGATCAGAGATGACAAATAGAGCCACACAATTACCGCCTCACAATTGTCAGGCACATCTTCCGGTGCGGGATTTATTTGTTGTTAAGAGTCTTTTAAAACAAGGATAGGAGTAAGATCTATCTTGCTATCGTAAAATATTTTTCCCCCACAATGGTCACATTTGGGGTGGGATGCTACCTTAACCTTGGCATAAACTGACGGGTTCAAACTGAGACCCGATTTTGTTATCATCTACTTCAAGGCATTATTTCAGTGATTTCCTTACACGTGTTTTGGCAACGCGTGTTTCGGGGCGCAAGCGAGTTCAAAGTACGGAACTTGATATAGTGAACAGGTCATTTTGCAATTTATGTGCGTTGGCATCTTCGCTACACAGTGCTGATGAGTCCCAAGAAGGACGAAACAGCTGTCCACTGTTGCGATCCTACTTTATCGGTTCTTGTCATGTTGGTGTTTTGAAACGTTTTTCACGTAGTATCAGCCTTGCCGTCCGTCTGTCTTTAGAAAAAAAGCAATTTCAAAGGACGTCTGGGATCAATAGTAGCGTAAACCTCGGACTGTGTGACTCGCGCGACTACTTTGTTTGTTCTTTACTCATAGCACAAACAAATTAAATTTTGATTTTTAAGGAAGAAAGCTGTTTATTTATAGCGCTATTAGTAGCGTGATACTCGTTTCCTATTCGTATCATTCATGGGCATGTCTCGAGCGAACTTCCAGACTAAAGCCATTACTTCATTATAGATTTCACAAAGGCTTAGAGCGATGGTGCAATAGTTCAGGTTGTGTTGATCCTACAGTAATCAATGAATCATCAAGAACTGCTTTGGAATGTGCACTGCGTCGCGACTGTAGTGCTAAGAAAACAGTTAAATTTTAAAAGCGCGGTTATAAGATCTAAAAGATCCTCTTATCTCTAAAGCTTTGGAGAGAGGAAGCATTTTTACAAGTACAGGTATTATATTCCAATTATCGGCTGCGGCAAATCTAACACTGAATTTGCCATAATTAGTTTTTGACCGAGCTATAATCAAATTTTGTTTTGATCTTGTACGTGTGCAATATCGGCGGACCTTTCTGATGTTCGTGAAACAGGAGTCATAAATAGCAGGAAGCGGGCTATTTTGATGTTTGTATACCAGCTCACCCACTTGTAATCTAGTAATTTGAATTATATTCAGTATACCCAATTAGTAAACAGGGGTCTACTATGATCTCTCCAATCTGATTGTGTTATAATCCTTAGTACTCTTTTCTGTAGCAGTAGTAAACAATTTAGTTTAGTCGGGTAGTTACTTCCCCGTAACACAGTGCAATACCGCAGATGTGAATAAACTAAACTATAATATAAACATTTTAAAATATCCAAACTCACCTTTTTGCTCGGTAGATTGTGATGCGTAGTTTCCAGAGAGGCAACACGCAGTGAGAATAAAGATGATAAGTACGGCCAAATGAAGAAAGCGTTTTCTTGCCATCTTCGTCAGATGAGAAGAGGACTACCGTTCCGATACGAAATCACACGATTTAAGACCTGAAATGACCTCAACGAGATCATTTGACACTTTTTATCTACTTGCGCCCCGAAACACATTATGTGGACACACATTATGTGGAAACACGTTATGTGGAAACACGTGATGTGGAAACGCTTGTTTCGGGGTGCAAGTGAGTTCAAAGTACGGAACTTGATAAGGTGAACGTATCATTTTGCAATAAACGAGTTAGAATATTTCACACATAATGAGCAATAATTTTTAAATATTCCAACAACTGAGTCGCAAAATAAAACTAAAAACTAAAAAATGAAAACAACTGGGTGCAGTGCCTCCTTTTTCTTGCAGCCATTTTTAAGCTCTAACTTGTGCTTTCGTACATGATGTACAGCATTAGGATGCCTTGTATTGAACAGTTCAATATCATATTATCCAATTTATACTGCAGGAAAAGACCTAATTGACAGATCAACAGCCAGGATTTTATAATTTCTTTTGTTGTGGGAGGGGTGGGGGAGTGAGTGGCATTTAAAGATAGATTAAATTAATTATTTAGATGATGTTTATTTGAGAGACTGGTTCATTTATCATGTCCATTTATCATATTGAGGTAACAAATTGCAACAGCGGTTATTTCATATCAATGACATTCATGTATGAAAAATCAAATGACGAAAAACAGGAGATACTCCATATTAGTTCTCATGTCAATGTTTAAATAGGTGTCAATCAGAGGTACAACTGGCCTTCATTTGCTTCATCAATGTCTGTACCAGTGATATTCAAAAGTGAGACTAGACTGACTGGTTCACTTGTAATTGTGCAGTCGTTTATGCCTTTCCGGGAACACATTTCCGGGGGCTGGAGGGATGAGGCATTAGAGGAAAGGATGGGATAGTAGAGAGAGGGAATTAATGAAAAGAAAGAAAAATTCAACAGACACCTTAATTACTGATAGTAATATTTTTTGGAACTTTCAGTACTCTAAGTTTTTCTTTGTTCTTTTAAACTTACAGCGGGAGCAAGGCATCCTAGATCAAACAACTGGTCATTTATTCCACGGCACCTTTAGATGATATAATGAATAAAAAATATCAATTGCATAGATAGAAAATTAAAATAATATCAATTTAATTATTGACTCATTCCAAAACAAAGGAGTCAGAGAAGACAAAAATGTTTGTCACACTGGAGGATAATAGTTATTCTAACTTAAAAAAAAAAGAACTTTTTGAAAAAAACAAAGAAAGAAAAAAAAAATTAACCACGAGCAGTTAAGATGAATCAAGTACTACACTGTGATTGTCGGCTAGGGATTGCGCTGTGTGTCCCACAAGGGAAATTTTCCTGAGGCTAGTTCAAGCAAGTTCACTTAAGTTTTCTCTCATAATTTTACTACATTGCGAAAAATATTTTTGTGACAGCTTAAAGATTCCCTATCGTCTTTGTATATTAAATGATCGAGTTGGAAAATGAGAAAAGTGGCAGTGTTAACAAAAATTAAGCAAAGAAAAAAAAATGTTGCCGAGTTTCATGAATTTATTTTGCAACCGAAACCACAAAATAAATCCTTTATTGACCTGCAGGCTTGTTCCATCGTGATCGCTGGACATATGGCATTGTTATTTTTCTATTATTATTATTTTTTTTTTTAAATTTTTGCTCGTTTATTGGCCTCGACTATCTTGGTCCATAAACATGCAAAAAAAAAATTAGAGCTTGTCCAATATCGAACCATACTGACCTCACTATGGCAAGCCGTTTGTAGCAAAATTAAATCCTTGCAATATATGTTTAATCCTTTAAATAACGGTTTTATCTACAGATAGAAAAAGGCATTCAATCCAATGGTAAATAAAATTTTTGGTTCAATTCAATCTTTTAATTTTCACG